TGTAATGTCGTTAGCTGTTTTTTATTTGTTTTATATTTTTTTTTTCGAAGTGTGAATGTCCTTTGGGTTTTACGTAAGTGCCGTTTTGCTACTGAACTACACTATCATAGAGTCACGTGTCACGTCAATATTTTTATTACTATATTGGAAATGTTTAGGAATAAATAATTTATAAAATTTTTTTTAAAAATGTGTAGCTATATATTTTAACAAATAAACACTGCCAAGGAATATTTACTTAAAATATTATTATTATAATATATAATAATATTATATATATTATATATATAAATTATATATATAAATAACAGGACCGATGTACATAGTTTATTGTATTTATAAATAAGTACCTACTTTGCGTCTTTGTATGTAACCATGACATGATACAACTGACGGCATTGTTATACATTTCTTTAATAAATTTTAAGTAAGAAAATTGTACTTATATGACATATATAGTAAAAAGTATTATAAACACATAAAACAGTTTTCATTTTTCATAGCGTTTTGATGAAAACTGTATGACATACAAATGATTTGCGTGCATGTTTATTTAAATAACAAAAACGTACATATAATATTATATTGTAGGTTATAAAGTATTTACTGTAAATTTTGAATTACACTTAGTATACTCAGATTCTCACTTTCAATAATTATTTAGTTAAACGATCGGTAATTTTTTTTTACATATTTTATTTAAATACCAATTAATAAGCTACAATTAACTTAAAAATATAATAATGATAATCTGAATTCGTATTTAATTTAATCTTTAAAACATTGTTTGTGTAATAATTTTTAAAGTATGTTTAATTTAAAAAAAAAGTAAAACTTTAATTTTTTAGATATTTCTGTAAAATTTATTCAAAATTTAACTTAGAATAACCTATTAAATATTTAAAACTATTTAAGATATTTATTATTTAAAATGATTACATCGACATTAACAAAAAATATACTAGCACTTTATGCCTATTCAATTGCTCCATTAAAATACACATTACAAGTAACAACGTAGATAATATTGCTTTATTTAGGGTTAGTAGTGTACATGTTTTATTTGTACCCACTCCAATTAATAATTAATAATAAGATTTAATGTATTTAACTCCCCTCCTCCTCCTACTCATCCCACCAGGCTACAAATTTTGACTGATAATATCATCATTGTTGCTTTTATAATGATTATTAGTAATTATTGAAATACGTAGATGTAGATACTAGGTACAAAAGAAATGAACAAGTAAAATAATTTAACTAATCACGTCATTTTGATATTTTGATATGTTACGATTTGCATTGTGTATACTGTGTAAATATATCAATCGTAAATCGTAATTGACAACTCCATGATACAAACATGGATAGGCAAACACACATGAGTATAATTATAATATAATACATTATAATACCTATCGCATTATAATTTTGAGAAAAGGAGACGAAATATTGTTGATAGTGCTTATACAAGTAGTCATCGCAACGTTGTGAATACCTGTTAAATTTATTTTTGTCATTATTTAATGAACTTGAGTGACGACAGAAGATAGAAAATTTAATAAGTTGGCGGTAAAAATGTTTGAAATGTATGCTAGAGTTAATTCTGTTTAAATATATTATACTTATATGTATTATTTTTTGTTGTATTCTGGCATACTATAGTATAAATGTATATACTAAAGCAAAAGCGGATGAGATGGGGGGGGGGGGGGGTGCTTGGGTTTCGATTGTATACACTTTATATTATTGTCGTTTCAATAAACTAGATATTTAAAGTACCAAGATATCTAGGTAATATTGTATGATCGGGACGTTATTGAAATCAATAGGATAAAGTATAGTTGACAACATTACAATTATATTCACACAATAATAAAAATAAAATAGTTGTTATGATTGAATATAATCTACAATACGTAGTTAATAAGTAACGGAATTTAATACCCACTGTTAATCCATGGGTATTTATAATTTGTTACGGTCAACGCTGTGCAAGATCAGCTAGTAGTTCTATATAATTAAAATATTATATGATATAGATATTAGAAATTTTATTATATGGTAACTACATATTTATTAAATAATAATTTATATAATGTGTCTTACATTTGTAGATACATTTTAACTAGGTCTAACTATCTATACCTACTACTGATCGAAGTGCCTACGAAGCTACGATTTATCTAATAAAAATGATATATGATTGATTTGTTTTATACATAATATAAAGTTCTGAATAATTCTTATAATTTTTAATTTTTATCAGATTTACACAATTTATGTTTAACGTTTAGTTGTTTGTAATAAATAGTTAAACAAAACGTGATATTATTAATTTATCACCTTGCAATGAAAAATACGATGACTGATTTCATCGAATAATGGCTTTATGTAATAGTTAAGAAAATCTTTATTAATATTGGAATAAATAAATAAATAATAGACTAGACAAAATAAATAAAATTGTATTTCTCTGAATTAATGTCTGACATACCTAATTATAGATTTCTATTATTCAATTCGCTGCTGTATTTTATTTTTAATAACTCATAATAATAACCAAAACGTTTGAAACGTTTTAAAATACTTTTAATTATAGCAGGTGAGCATATTAAAAAAATAAATATAATATATTATTTTAATATAATATTAATAATTAATATGATATTAATTAAGCCTTATACTTTAAAAAAAAATCTGAAACATGCTGTACCATTTAATTATTTAATTGCCAAAACGCTGAAATATGCAAAAAAATAAATGTTGCGTTCTGTTAAATATTTTTACCATTAAATTTAATTATCTTGATATAGTTTTTAAGCATTTTGATTATTCAGTAAAATAAAAACTCGCAAGTCAACATTAACTCATCTGACTCGGTAATAAGAATAAGTATCAAAATTTATTATAAATTATTACAGACCCTATTTATGCTGTTCGAGAGTTTTGACCTCAGTTTAAATAGCTTATGTAATTTGTTTCACAATTATGTAATACATGCAAATAAATAAAATATTAAATTGATAGCATTGAGTCTGATGATCATCACCATGAATACCTATCGGATCATTATTATTCAATATTACTTGGTAGTTGACACCTAATAGGTAATCATAATTTCAATTTATTTTACATTTGGTTATTTCTATTGACTGTCTTGAGTGTAAATCTAGATATAAAGCAAAATATTATAATAGTCACATAGGTATAATATGTTATATGTATTATGTTTGAAATTTTAAAACATTGATGATATACATTTCATTTAAATTAACTGTTACTGAATTAAATGTTTTTTTTTCTTTTTTTTTTAAAAAGATCTTATATTACATTATTAATGAATTATAGTACATAATTTTTTATTATTTTTTTTTTTTTAAAATATTTTTTGAGAATATTATAATTTATAACATATAATATAAATACAGTTAATTATTTTAATCATTAAAATGTTTTAAAAATAACTAAAATATTTGTTGAATTTACAATGAGGGGGCAATGAAATAAATAATATATTGTATTTGATTATAAAGCAAAAATAAATATTGAGATAAAATTCATATCTTATAAATCTCATATGACACGCTTAAATTCTTAAATAATAATAATACATTTGATAACATATTTATATATTTAGTTACATAATAATATTAATTTATGGAATATTACCTTGTAATAATACTTAAAATATATATATATAGGTACTTATTATTATTATCGTACATTTATATAGTAATTTTGACCAGTTAATTATTTAATTTTAATTGATATTAAATATACGAATGGTGTGATATTAATATAATAATGAAGTATTTGAATTTTTTAAAAACATTTGAAAGTAAAATCAAACTATGCAAGTGTGAATTTCATATTGATTGAAAGATATTTCATAATATTTTAAAAAGTTATGAAATAAAAATTGTTTCCGTTCAGGATGAATTACACAATATCCTAATATTTTTGACTAAATGGTTCTTGAATAATCTATTACGATTTATAACTCATAAGTAACAGTAACATTAAATGTATGAAATAAATTTTTATGTAACTTGTTTGGCGTTAAATTAGATATTTTAATTTCCAATACATACAAATACAAAAAAAAAAAAATAAATAAAAAAATAGTTATGGCATTATTTTATTTTGTAGCTTTTATTATTTATTAATTTTTAACTAAGTTAAATATTCATTTAATGACCGAAAAAAATGATAAATTAGCAATAGAAGTATTTGCAGTACACACATTTTGCACACAAATAACATGTAATTTGCTGATGTGTTAAAGTATTTTTTATAATTTTTTTTTTATTTACAGATTTTCAAATATCAAGTTCTAAATTCTTGTTATTATTAACTCCATCAGTCATGGGAGATTTATCTGAAATTGGACGATAATAACACTTAGTCATTGGTATGAGATTCGAATTCATGAACTCACGTATCAAATTGGGTCACCTCATTTTTGTCTTATCATCTCTACCTCAACTCCGTGAACATTAGAATATTTTTAAGTTCATGTTTAATACAACTATCTATATACCTATATGTGTACGATTGAGAAGACAATGCAATTGTATAATTTATTATAATATATGAATAATTGTTTTTATAATTAAGTTGAATGATTATTACTTTATTATAGTTGAGTGTTAACATATTTGTGTACCTATATTCAATTATAATTAATTACAAAGTTATTTATTATACAGTTATACCTTATCGTATACTGAAATTTTAAATTTTACACCTTTTGTGTTTTAATAAAATAAAATTCATCGAAAAATAATGCCTAATTTTATGTATTTGAGTAAATTACAAGCAGTTAATGATCAGGAAGTTATTGAAGAATACTAGGTAATCAATTCTTTTTTACACATCTGAATTTAATGACTTAATTGAATGTGTTATAATGTTGTTTCTATCATAGGTAATAATAATCTTACCGAATTATTAGAAAAAGAATATATATATAAAAAAAAGAAAAAATGTAGCTTGACTAAAACTTTAAGAAAAATATAGATACCCATAAATGGATAGTGATTTAAGTACAGCACTACAGCCTAACATAACCATTTTATAGGAAATATACATTAAACGTGAAACATTAAGAAAGTCACAACACGTTTTTCAATATTGTATACTATTGAGATTTTTTGTAATTTTTACGTACACGCAATACGCACTTAGTGGGCGTTGAACTTGAAAACGTGAATGCGAAAACGCATAATTAGATTGTATTATGCGCCCAAATATAATATAACAATATTACAGGTAGGTGCACGTGTTATTATTATTATTTTTTTTTTTTTTACTGCGGGGAAGGCACTGTTTTTGGAACACGTGTATATGCGGCGGGCGAGGCTTTGTCATTAAAAGGCCGGATGGTTACCCATCCGGAAGCTGACGACAACGGCTGATGCTTGACCTCAGAACACGTTAGCGACTGAGGCAAACCACCCACCGCGTCACACCAGGCCACACATACACCATATTATTATTTGTCGTTAAATATTATATCAAAATTTATAGTCGAAGATATTTCGTGTTTTATTTTCACGGTCACGTGGCGTACAACCTTGTTTAGCCATCCGGCATAATATCAGGTTAACCTGTGCTCACAGTTCTTCCACACACACATATTACATTTTGTACTGATCATTGACGAACCGACTGTTCTTCCCCACATCGCGGTCATCTCCTAGCGCCATCACTGAGCTTCCGGATCCGGTGACGACCGCTGTTCGCTGTGCAGACTGAACCCGTTTTCGGGCGTCATGCGCAGATACGGCTGGCCCGCCGGGTTGATGGCCGGCGGAGTGGCCACGGGCGGCGAGTCCGGCGCGTCGTAGAACGCCGGGTTGTACACCACGGTGGCCGACATGGACTGTCTGCGCCTGGCCGCCCGTACCGTGGCCATCAGAGTGCCCGCGTCGGCCGTCCTCCGGCCACTCGCCCTGCGGCCGTCGCCATCGTCTGCGGTCGGGGCCGTCACGAGGACGTACGACAGTTCGGACGTCGACCGGTAGACGCCGGTCAGCCCGTCGGTCGCGGACCGGCCGTGACGCGCCATCGCCGTGGACGCCGACGTCATCGGTGCCGCGCCCCGTTGCCGCCACCTCTCCTTGCTGATCTTTCGGATGTCGTCCAGCACCGGTCCCTGTTTGTCTTCCGGTAGCACCGAACACATTTCCTGTAACACCTCCCGGCCAAACACCGTGCAAAATTACTGTCGTGTGACATATGTAATATTACGTATACAAAATGTTCGTGACTGACAAACGGATTAAAAAAAAAAAAAGAGGCCCACGATTGAACACGTAAAATATGAGTCAAACCTACGTTTTCAAAACGAATTATACTCAATTTTTTATTTATTTATTTTTTAAGAAAATAGAAAGTGTACAATTAATGATAAAACTTTTTTTTTAAATCTGTCGTCGTAATAATATTGGTTTTTGATTTAAAGCGGAACAAAGAATTTCGTTATTCATTAGTTTTACAATGATTTTTTTTTTTTATTATTATTTGTTGAAAAATGATAATTATTATATATTGATCATACAATTGTTTGACTTTTTTGTTAATAAATATTCAATTTGTAAAAGTTTATATACAGTATTATTGTATTAATTCATTATACTTTATTGTCTTATTGACTATTGTTATTATTATTATTTATTTTTAATTAAAAGACTAAAAGTTCATATCGTAAATATTAAAACAAAAATAACTTTAACAGTAAAAAAAACCGGGAATACTTATTAAAATCGGTAAAATTACTTTGTAATTAAAAATGTATATCATTTAAAATTTTACTGTCTAAGAAAATTTGAAAACCTAAGAAAAGTCATTTCATAAGTTTTACCTATTACAGTTAAAAATATAAAAAATATGTTGTTACATATTTTATTTTTTTAAAGCATTTAAAATTGAAAATTAAATCTATTTATTCAAACCAAGAATAACGAAGTTTTCTTAATTTGGTTTGATTATTCAGTTGAAATTCAAAAAATATTAATTGTGGAGACTTTATAACGTAACTTAAGATAGTGGATTTTAACCTTTATTAAAATTTATGTTTCATAACATGTTTATGATACTTGGTGTATCGAGTAATAACGACATATATAAAGTTTAGTTATATAACATATATACTAAGATATTAAACTGAATAATTTGTTACTGACCGTCATTAAGCTTTACAACGCGAGTAAATACTATGTATGAATTTTATTAAAATCTATAAATGCATAATTCAATAAATAATAAAATCAACCTAAACCGCTACAATACTCGTCAAACTCGATTTAATGGTTTTGGTTTAAGTAAAAACAACAAAAAAAAATAACAGTTTCAATGCCCACGGAAAACGAAATTTCATTATGTACAATAATCATATTAATTTATACTACATACAACATTTACATCAATTTTAGGTATTTTGTATCATAAACTTATTCACACCATTCTACGATAAATCAATATTTTTATAAAAATTTGTTCTTCAATACAAATTAAAAATTGCCAGTAATGATATAAATATGATGCAATTAATTATAATTAATTAAAAATTCTCCTCTCAAATTCGTTTTGTTAGATACAATTATTTGTCAATAAATTAAAATTTATCACATATATGATATATACAATGATCTTCTTAATTACGATACACATAGGTACCTACATAAAATAGGTATTATGCTCCAAAGATGCATTATTTATGTATTCAATCATTAATATTAAGTATTTCCGTATTTTTATGATCACAAATAACAGCTATCAACGACCTAGTTTATAGTTAATCTCAAGTTAAATAATATTTTTATTAAAAACGATTTATCGATAGGTATTACATTATAATATCAATAGAAATTGTTTTATCGTACTTCAGTAGTTTTAATTATTCGACCTGGTCTTTTTTTTTCTATATGCGTTTTTATTCAAACCATAAATAATTAAATAAGTCGAGTTTTTACTTTATCTCCTCATCTCCTGATAATAAACCACCTTTCAAAATTTTGTATAAGTATGAGTATACGAGGAAATTTATTTATAGTGTATAAAATATATTCAAACGGAAAACTCGAAAAGTTTTGTAAAACTCCGTACCACTAAAACAATATTGGTTAAAAATCAATCGTTTTGTAAGGTATAAACTAAAATATACAGACTTAATGTTACTTCGTTTTAATCTTTCTAAATATGTTTTTACATTTTACAAAACTTTATAAACTGTATGTGTTATTTTAAATTGGATACGTTGATCTAAAACTGTATATAGTGATTGTGATTAAAATCCCATTAAAAAAAAAAAAAATTAGGTCACATAATACGTCTGTGTGATGGGTCTACGCTTTTTGTCAATTAATGGATTTCATTCAGTTATTTATATTTCTGAAATTGAGGCTGTTATGTAAAAATTATCTTTATCGGGGCTAGATTCATTAGCGATTCGCTTTGTGTTCTAATTTTTCTTCTGTGGATACTAATTTTATTTTTAAGTTAAGGATCGAAAATTCTTTTTATCATAATCTCTGTTTTATACTTCGAGTAATTTACATTTATAAGGTAACTATAGTTGCGAGTCGTCAAGTTTTCAATGTAAAATATAAACAAAGAGAGAAAATAGAAGAATAATTTTATATCGGTATAATAGCTCTAACGCATACGTTATGACGTTATATGCATATTGCATTCTACATTCTACACATGTTTGAATTTACGTAATAAGTACGTGGAAACATTTTTTTCACATTGTACCATTATATTTATTTCATAATTAATCTATTGGAAACAAAAATATTCAAGCACATTTGGATTATATATTTATACCTATTATCTATACATTTTACAATATCTTTAATAATTAATAAATTATAAGTAATACAATGAAGATGATGTTACGTGTTAAAATATTATACAAGTAGTCATGAACGTGAATGAAAAAATAGTGTTTTTTTATACATATTCGTATGAATAACCATGTTAAAATTTAACATAATATAATACATACATCATACATTTATACATAATATGAAACATATTTATACTTTTTTTACCATAATATTTAATTCTAAACTATGATGGTAAAATATAAATTATAATTTCAAATAATCGTAAGAAATTTATAGTAGGTATTATTGCGATTTTGCAAAGCACCTATGTCATATTTAATTTAAAACGCAAATTCCACGCAATTCAACTTATTATTATATACCATTATCATAACTAAAGAATATTTAAAGGAATACGTCATTTTATTATTATATTTTGCGATACTTTTTTTTTATTAGATCCAATATGATTTAAATTAATACAATTGCATTCAATAACTTTTTTACTATCTATGTATCAATAAATTACACAACTTTTAACATAAAATAATGCTTAACTCTCAAAAATGAGTCAAGTAATTTAATTAAATAGTATGAATCTAATAAGGTAAGTCTTAATGTTTTTAAATGTTTTAAAATTTTATACTATCGAACGAAAAATAAATTAACTTTATATATAAAAATGACAATTTTCTTTTACACGAGGTTGAGGCGGTGAATGATCTTGGTATTACCTTTCAATCGGATCTCATATTTTCACCCCCTTGATAAATTAATTTAAAAGCTATAAGAAGTAAGAACATTTTGGTTTTTAATTAGATAAACTTCACATCATTCAAGGATATCCGTTGTCTAAAAATTCTATACTGTGATCTGGTTCACTCTTTATTAGAATATGGATCAATAGTGTAATGCCTATTTTTTATTAATCAAATCGAAAACTAAAAAGAGTGCAAAGAAAATTTTTACGCTATATTGTTTATAAAAATAATAAATTAAATGATGATTACTATAATTCATTAAAACTTATTAAAAATAGTTTCAATCTCAATACTTTACACACCCGTAGGAAAAATGCATATACTTTTTTTCTTTCAAAGTTAATATATAGCTCAATATTATATTCCCCACTATTAGTACTTATTTTTTTCATATACTGCTTTGTAACCCTAGATTATGCTCTACTTTTTTTTATCAAAATCCATTGAACTAATTATGGCTAAAATAATCTTTTGAGAGGATTTCGAAATTGAAAAATTAGTACGGTTAAGACTTTTTTCTATTATAAATTAATTTTGGATATTTTACCAGATTTTATTTGTGTTATTTTATTTTAAGTTTATGTATTAATTATTTAGTAATTTAATATTATAATATATCAATAAATGTAATTATAATTTTTTTAATTTCATTTATCTGTAATACATTTATACTGAGCATATACCTATAATATAGGACTGTAGCATTGATCTTAAATAAATAAATAAATAAAAATCAATTTGAATTTTCTATAATAAAGTAAATTAATTAAAAAATTAGCAATACGTAAAATATAATAGTTTTAATATAATATTTTTAAATGTATCCAGTAATTGGTTTTTATTTTAGCTAAATCAAAAAGTTTTGCAAACCCATATGCGCGAGTATGGCCTTAATGACAGTGACATTGAATTATGATATTTTACAGGCTGTATTGACGTATTGTGTAGTTGTTCGAAATATTTCAATATTCGAACACGAGTGTTTCGCTCTTTTTCGATATATTCATCATGCATTTTACAATTTATGAAATAAAAATTAAAATATGTTTTGTAACAATAATTAAAATTCACAAATGCAGTTATAGCTATAACACTATATATTCGTAATAATATGTAAAATTGTATTTATAACAGTGTACAACTAACAACTTGGCTATTATAATAATATGTGATGATTTTTATCAAATTTATTGAAATTTACAATCTATTTGTTGATAAAATAGTTTATTTTCTTTTAAATATATTAAAAAACTCGTCAAATAAAATTTCTAATACTTCTATGTCATTTTGATATTTCATAACGATTTTTATAAACTGCGCCATTTTAATAATATTTTATCAATCTATAGTTTTTAATGCTTTATTAGTTATAATCTACTATCTCATTTTTATTACGTCCTGCTTTCAGTATCTATCGTTACTATAATATGTACATTGTACAAACATTGAATGTCCGTGAAGTCTATTTCATGATAATTTTTAGAATAGTACATAGTTTACATATTACATATCTAATGCATGTACAGAGTGATAAAGTGAACAATTTATTAAACATTGAGTACCTATTTTAAGACAAGAAATTCTTAAACATTTTTTTTTCTTTAATTGTGCATTATCTTGTTCTACAGAAATGAACATGAAACATTAAATTTATGTACTGAATAAATAGAAATTACGAGTATTAGTCGAAACTCGAATTAGCTATCATTCACAAATTGTTTATCATGTCAACCAATGTTCGGTCAACTATTATTACTTGGTTACTAAGTGTTTATGCTGTATTAATTACGGCCACTTATACTTACTGTGTACTTTTGTAAGTTTATCAAAGCATTGACAATGTTTCCCAGCACCCGGTGATTGCTCCTGTATCTGTTGGACGCAATCGTTGCGGTCATGGGGCTTTGCCATTGTAGACGTGCATATGAAGTGACAGTGGTTTGTGGAGCGTTTTTCTTGTCATTTAGCGAGCTGTCGGCGTCCAAAAACGACATGCCTGTCGGAACCAGAATATATATACGTATATTATTCAAAAACGAGAGATAAATAAAAAAATAGGGCCGTTTAGAGATGTTCAATTAAATAGCTATAATATA